CACTTGGTGTATATAGTCTGGATTTTTTTTTTTTTTTTTGCAGTGCTGGGGATAGAACTAGGGCCTTACACACATGCTTGACAAATGCTCTACCACTGAGCTATGTCCTCAGTGCAGTTTGAATGTAACCTTTATAATTGGTGGGTGAAAGCATTCCCCATTTAACGAGATTTTAAGCAAATAGCATTTTCTTTAGGGCATTAGGGACTGGAATATGCTAGAGCACTCCATCCTGCCTCCATTTCCAAGCACTTGGGTCTAGAGCCTACAGACTCTGCACTTTGTGCCCCTCACATCATGTCCTCTTCCTGCAGACTGCAATAAGGTCACTGACCAGTGCCTGTCCTTCTTCAAACGCTGTGGAAACATCTGTCATATTGACCTGAGGTACTGCAAGCAAGTCACCAAGGAAGGCTGTGAGCAGTTCATAGCTGAGATGTCTGTGAGTGTCCAGTTTGGGCAAGTGGAAGAAAAACTCCTGCAAAAACTAAGTTAGTCCAAGGATAAGTATGTAAATATGGGGTGGGTGGGGGAGGGGACATGGCTGGGGATGGGAAAGACTTTACAAGAAAAACGAGGGCTTTTATTTCCCTTTGGAACTTGGAACAACAGACCACAGACAATTCTATTTTGCAAGTCTTGGCCAAGGGAGAAGCCATTCAAGCACCCATTTTGGGGATGAGTGACCCAGAGGCTTTCTCTGGTTTTTCTGCATTGTAACTGTACTGCTTTCTGGACCATTTCTAAGGCAGCCTTTACAAGAAGACATTCCCGGAGAGGAGCATGGGCTTGGAGAAATTCCCTTATTTAGCTAAGGGTTTTCCTTGGTGGTGTTTGTTTTGGACACCTTGTTTCTTGTAACACCTAGGCTTCTGGTGTCAACACAATGTGGACCACAGACCACATCTGCTGCCATCTTGACACATTTTGTTTGGTTTTGTTACATCTTACATTATGCAGAACTATTTTTGTACAAATTGTTTAAAAGTTATTTATGCAAGGTTTGAATGCATACCAGTGTTTTTATTGTTTTGAGATTGCCAACTTTCCTGGTTTCCTTCAGATAGGAGAGAACTTAACCTGTACTTGGACACAAAGAGCCCATCTCCAGATGTGCCCAGATCTGACATAGAGCGGGCTACAACCTTCCACTTAAAAGCATGTTTAATTGGAAATTGAGAGCCTGCTTTCTATGTCAAGAAGTTACTTGAGCATGTTGTGAATAAATGTAAATTACAGCCCAGTAAGACACTCTGCCAACTTTCCTCTATAGAGAATTCACCTTTTTCTCAGAATTTTACAGTTCAAACTTGCGCCTTTGTATTCAGGAGGGTTCACTCCAGCATGAGCTCTTGTATTTACATAGATCTTATTTATACCCTGGGTCAAGAAGTAGAATAATGTGCCCACATGGCCTCTCTTTCCCTTTTTTTTCTCTTGAAGTGTAAGTTGAGTTCTCATTTAGCTTCCTAACCTGGCTATTTCCTAGTTGTAAAGTTCAGCATTCATAAGTGCCATTGTTGTATGTGGTGTTTCCTAGACCTTCCCTCATGCCGTTTGACCTTTGTTGAATTTGTATAAACAGTTGTACAAGAAAACCACTCTTGCTGTTCGAGGGTTTTTGTTGCTGGTTTTTGTTGTTGGTTTTAGGTGGCCAAGAGGGTCTATTAGCCCTCGTGTACACCACCACACTAAGGGCATTGAGGGGCTTGTTTTAGGCAGAGACTAGAAATTTAATTGGAAAGCCAGGGTCAGTAGAGTCTGAACACTAGTGTTGTATTGTTTTGAGACCAAGCAATAGAATTTCGTTCATCCAAATAATGTGGCGACCTGTGGTAATGATTTTTTTTCCTTTTTCTTCTTCAGAATGAGATCTGTTTCTGGTCAGTAAACATAATGAGAAAGAACTTGCTACAACAATAGCACAAGTAAAAACTAAAGCTCAGACTCAGGGGCAGCGGCTCACCTGTTTGGATGCCTGTTACCAGACCTGTACAAAACAACCTCCTTAGCTATTTGGCCTTACCCTTTGCTGGAAGTTTTCTAGATTTGGGGGTGGTGGTCATTTCCTCAACCTCCTGCCGAAGGCGGCTGGGGGAGGCACTTGGTGATGTGGCAGCCTCCTCGGGTAGCAGATGAGAACTAGTGAGAATTTTAGACCACAAACTTTAAATAGGGGCCTATACATCTAGTGAATCTGAAAGTGAGGACCATGACTTTCTCAGTCATCAAGAGCAATATAAGACGTTGGTCCTGTGAGATAAACCCTTCCTATTAACAGTGCAGTTTTGTATTTTCCTCTTGTTTTTTCTAATCTCCTTTGACAAATTGGTTTTATTAAAATGGTATGGGCTGGTGAAGTGGCTCAAGCAGTAAGAGCACCTGCCTAGCAAGTGAGAGGCCCTAAGTTCAAACTCCAGTGCCACCAAAAAAATGAAGTAAAACTGCACAAGAAGGCAGTCTAACCACTGCTATTCAGAATTGGCACTACAGATTCCCCATACAATAAATATATGCTAATAAAATTTTTTTTAAATCCAGAGACCAGATCCCTTCTGATTCAAACTAGAGGCACTGTAGCCATTACAGCCTAGAACTTAGACACAGGACCCACTTGACAGGATTAAGATTAGTTACCACTCTACGGTTTACTTGTAAAGATATGGCTTACCTTTCGGGCCCAATGCCTTGTCGTGCAGATGGGAAGTTTCTGTCTTCGTGGTGCTCTGAATTCTCTGACCCTCTAAATAAAAAGTTACCTTACTGTTTGGGAAAGTTGTTCTCTTCTTTGGGAACTGCTTTAAGGGTGTCGGTTTTCAGGTGAATGGTCCTTGTGAGTAGCTAACAGATACAAAGCTGCTTAATTGGAAGCAGGGCTCAGGTTAGAGGCAGCTCAGTATTCCTCCTGCAAGGATTCCTGGGGCATACAAATTATACATAAGAGGCTAAGGGAGGCTGTCAAGACTGGGGTTCCATGCCACCAAATGAAGATGCAACAAAGACATGGCATATCTCCAGGTACAAGAGAGGCCACAGCAATGCAGAAGTCACAGATGAGCTCCTTGCCAAGCTTGTGACACTGAAAATTTTTGTTGAATGGTTGGTCACTAAACCAGGGTGCCTTAGAAATGCTTACTGAAGTAGCCACCTTTAAGTTTTTGACTCCTGCTATAAAGAACCTAAGAAAACAGCAAGTTATTTCAAACCGTGACTACATATAAGCAAATCTTTTTTTTTTTTTTTTTTTTTTTTTTTACTAGCTAGGAGGCACTGTACTGCTTGAACCATATACAGCCCTTTTGCTTTATTTATTTTTGGCAGTACTGGGATTTGAACTCAAGGTCTCACGCTTGCTAGGCAGGCACCCTACTGCTTGAGTCACTCCAACAGCCCTGTTTTATGTTGGGTATTTTCAAGATGGGTCTTGAGAACTAGATGCCTCGGCTGGCTTTGAACTGTGATCCTCCTGATCTCTGCCTCCTGAGTAGCTAGGATTACACGCAAGAGCCACTGGTGCCCAGCTTGCTTTGATTATTTTTGAGACAGAATCTCACATTTATGCCAAGGTTGGCCTAGACAGCGACCCTATTTACATGGGGGTAGATGGGGTAAGAGATGGCACCACTATGCCCAGCTTCCATTGGTTGAGATGGCAGTCTCACAGACTTTTTGGCTGGGCTGGCTCTGAACTGATTCTCCCAATCTCCATCTCTCAAGTAGGTAGGATTTACCACCCCACTCTGCACAAATATGAACTTCTAAGTTCAACTTAAGACAAGCTGGTGCTGGTGGCTCACACCTGTAATCCTAGCTATTGAAGAGGCAGAGATCAGGAGGATCACTGTTCGAGGCCAGCTCGAGCAAATAGTTCTCAAGACCCTATCTAAAAAAACAACCTAACACAAAAAAAGAGCTGGAGTGGCTGGAGTGGTAGAGCACCTACCTAGCAAGGGTGAGGTCCTGAGTTCAAGCCCCAGTACCACCAAAAAAAAAAAAAAAAAAACCTGAGATAAAACCAGCACCTGAGTGTCACCTTCTGTTTAAATTTACTATCATCTGCTGGCCTGAATTTAAAGACTTCTTACAACCATGTTAGGGACTGGAGGATACATTATGTTTTAAGAGTTTTCATGAGAAGCAGACAGACAAAAGTGGCCACAGGGCTTAGGGCTTTGGGCTTTGGCTGGGGCTCAGCTTTTGCTGCTTTGGTGGGGAAGAAATGGTCTGCTCAAGCTCGTCACTGCCAACCACGGCAGGCAGACACTCACACCAGCTCTGCAGGCAGAAATGAGAGAAGGCCTTTGAAAATAATCCTAAGGCCTTGGTTGACATTGCTTTGACCCTCCAAACCAGAAAAGCAAAAAGGCATGTTTCTTCACAGTTAGCCACACTTTCTGCTTTAAGCTCACAAGTCTCCTTTCTGCCTCTTTAGTTCACAGCTATTTGGAGGTCTGTTGATGGACTAGTAGATCTGAGTACATGAAGGCATGCTTTATTACAATCAAGGCAAGTGGAGGCGTGTCTGAGAAGTCATTGTTTTGGTCTGGTTTTTGTTGGTTTTTAGCAGGGCTGGGGACCTTGCACTAATAGGGAAGCATTCTTCCACTGAGCTCCGGCAGCCAGCTCTGACGCTAGCTGTTTCTTACAGTGTCTGTCACAAAGTCCTGGTTCAAGCCCAGTCCCAGCAATGAAGCAACTGCCCATCACCAGTGGGATGAATGCACAGTTGGTCTTAACCGAAGCATATTCTGATTCAAGTTGGACCCAAAACAGAAAAAATTTCAGAACCCTTCTGATAAGCTAATACTGATGGAAGGGTTAAAAGAAGCTTGACCACACTGTGGTGTGGACACGTCCAGTGGTCTGGGGATTGAATCCAGGGCCTCGTGCATGTTAAACATTCATCACACCACTGAGCTACATCCCCGGCCTGATACAGCCACTTGTTAACTGCAGGTTTTACACAAGGCCTTTAACCCTCAGAGGCTGGCTTGCCTATGCAAAGTCAGGCGTTCTCCATTTCAGAATGACACTGAGGGCTGCTGCAGAAGGCCACGGTACATGTGATGAGCATGGTGGTGAGCAGCACTGGTCTGCCACGTCTCTCAAGGTGCCCAGCTCTTCTGCAATAGGGTGCTGGGCCAGAGTGCACGTGCCCCTTTGTGCCATATGCAAGTGAGTTAGGAACTGACTATAAACTAAAGCATCATTTGAATCTAATTTTATTCCTAAAGTTGAAATTAGCCAGCAGGTAGCACTAAAAATACACCTTCACTATACAAAACAGTGTAAACTGATTACACATTAATAAGGAATTTAGCACACATACTTGTAAGAAGCTAGACGCAGCCCTTGCTATAAAAAGCTGTACCTGAACAGAAATGGACATGTTTAGTCTAAGGCCCTGGCAGTTGACTATAGAATGTCAGTCGTCCCCACTTATGTTCAAATGCAGAAATAGCAACAATGTGGAAACTTACATTCATCAAATACTAGCATTTAAAATATACATGACTAATAGAGTAACATTTGGAGCGGCCTGCTGCTCAGCTCGTCCTTGTTAGCCACTGTGGGCAGTGAGCTCATCTCACCCAAAAAGAACAACAGTTTCAAACACAGGAAGAAGGGAAAATAGAACACAGGAAGTGTCCTCCCAGTCAACAGTCTGACTTCAACCGTCAGTGCTCATGGGGGCTGAGAAGGCCCGGTAGACCCAGAGACACTCCCATGTCCACAGGCAGACAGGCTGGTGGCACAGGACCAAGGGTTCTTGACCCCAGGATGAACCTTTCTGTTCCGATTCAGTAATGAAAATAATTTTTTAAAAAGCTGCTGCCTTTGAACAGTAGGTTTAACTCCCTGTGTGCACTGAAATGTCTGGGGCAGTCTGGGCACATGTCCCATCAGGAGAGCCTTGGCTTCAGGACTTGAACACGTGCACTGCCCGCACCACGTACTGCCGGCAGATGGGACACTCGCTCATGCGCTTGCCACACTTGGTGCAGGTGACCATGTGCCCGCACTCCAGCAGGACACAGTCGATGACGGCATCCATGCAGATGCGGCACAGGCTGTCATCTTCCTCGTCCTGCAGCTGCAGCCGCTCACCATCTGAAAAGCAACAGAGCTGTGGTTGTGGCCACGGCCGCCCACCCTGTCGCTCTGTCCAAGCTGAGCAGCCATGGCAGGCCCAAGGCGATCCCACCACTGTAGAGGCAACCGCCAACTTCTCTGCACTTGGGTTCTTTCCACTAGAAATGGCAGTGCTATACCTCATGTTTCTGTGGCTTCGGGCCAGGTTAAGACATTGTGATAGGGAGACACTAATCCTGCATTTAAAATGAAAAAAGAAACATGAACCCTAGGCCTTCTTTCTACACATGGGCCTTGAAGTCAGGCCACTATTGGAATTTCAGCTCAGTGGCCCAGCTGTGTGGCCGTGGTTAGGCGGCAGTCTCAGGAGCCTCAGTCAGGGAGAAGATTGACTATGGTCAGTCTTGCCAGAAGTTACTTGAGGTCAGTCAAACTAGGGAAGGTTCCAGCATGCTAAAACGGTATGTGTGCCACCAAGCTGGAGAATGAACTGGGGGTGAGATTAGGCAGTGAGTTAACCACATGTGTCCTTGCCTCCTACACCATAAAACTCTTTGAGGGTAAGAGTTGCCAGGCATTACCACCACCAGAATGCCCTTCACCAGTCTGCAGCTGGAGCCCCTGAAGGCTCTGTGAACTGATTCTTGGACCTGCCACAGCAGCAGCGTCCTAGTTGGTATACCAAGACCACTCATCACAAAATAAATGCTGTATTTAAGAGAAAACTTCAAGATGGTAAAAGTTAATGCTGAGAGAACTGTTTAAGACTAGGTAAGAACAGAACATCTGTCAGCCTGAACACCACTGATTTATTTTTTCTTGCCCATAAATGCTCTGTGGCTTGGCTCTATTAAGGCAGGAAGGGCTTCTGTGTCACACAAGTTTTTTTTTGTTTGTTTGTTTTTGGTAGGACTGGAGGGCTTTGCACTTGCAAAGCAGGTGCTCTATCGCTTGAATCACATCTCCAGTCCATTTTGCTCTGGTTATTTTGGAGATGAGGTCTTGCGAACTAGTTGCTAGGGCAGGCCTCAAACCTCGATCCTCCTGATCTTTGCCTCCCAAGTAGCTAGGATTACAGGCGTGAGCCACTGGCACTGGGCTCTCACAAATTTTTAATCTCTTTTTGAGACTTCCTCCACTAATACTTAATTTGAGGAATTACTTAATACCTGAGTGCAGTGAATTTCCCTTCCTGTTAGGGTTTAAAAGCTACACCCGAGATAATCAGGATTCTGGCCAGTCTGGGGGTTAATGGGAAAACAGGCAGTTTTATAGACAGAGTTTCATTAGGGTTGTAACCATCAGTTAATTACGTTAAGATGAACCAGGCTAAAGAAATAACTCACTGCCAACAGTGGTCTCTGAGCCCACATCACGTTCTGAACTTATTATTTAAACTAAAGTGACTCACACTTAGTTTCTTGACATTAACTGACTGAATTGTGACAGAAACAAGCCTCTTTCTTTTTTTCCCCCTTTTTGCGGTACTGGGGCTTGAACTCAGAGCCTTCGCCTTGAGCCACTCCACCAGCCCAGTATTTTGTGGTAAGGTTTTTCAAGATAGGGTCTCTCGAACTATTTGCCCAGGCTGACTCTGAACTGCAATCCTCCTGATCTCTGCTTCCTGAGTAGCTAGGAGTACATTCGTGAGCCACTGACGCTCATTTGTTTAAAAACAAGCCTCTTTTAAAAGGCTAAGGAAGGATACCATAGGGATACCATAGGGAAAAAATGAAATAATGAACCTACATGACTTTTGGTTTTCTTCGTTTTCTTTGTACAGCCGGCTTACTTTCTCTACCAGCTCCCACTTTTCACAACAGCCAGAATAGTTGACAAAATTCCGAGCCAAGATTTCCTTCAGCTGGCGTACACTCATCCCTTCCACCTCCTCAAGGCTTGACAGGTCAGAAAGCGAGGCTCTCACTCTCTTCTTAGAGAGGCCAGGGGTCTGAAATCAGAGCTTCCATTACCTCTGTCCCACACATCCAGACCCCTCACCCCCAGTCCTCACAACCCTGAATGCTCTCCCCATACACGTCGGCAGTCCTTCAGCTGCTGTAATGCATCACCCTACCATCAACCCAGAAGAAACATCCTGTCATCCTGTACTAACCTAGAGAAAGCTACAGGGCATCTTCCCTTCCTCCATGCTAAGACATCTGGGAATGAAACTTCATAGCAGGTCTCACCTCCTCCAAGTTGTCATCTTCATCATCGTCATCGTCGTCGTCGTCATCGTCGTCGTCGTCGTCCTCTGTGTTTGCTGAAGCTATTTCACTCTGTACCTACATTCAGAATGTATCTGATTAGGTCAAGAATCAAGTTTTCCATGTCTGGGGGGAGGTACTAGTAGGAGGTGAGTGGCTGAATAAAGGAGATTAAGGTGAGGGTATATGGCTCGTGGATTTCATGTACTTATATGAGACAGAACAAAGAAACCTCTTGCAACTGCTTTAAGTGGGGCAGGGAGGGGGCTGAGAGGGAGAAAGGATGGAGATGATCTAACCAATGTACAGTATAAGCCTAATTGGAATTGTCACTATGAGTCCCCCCCCCATATAATGAATATATCCTATTAAAAAATTTTACAATGGAAAAAATCTAATTTTCCAAGCTGGAGGTGTCATTCAAGTGGTAGAGCACTTGCCTAGCAAGTGTGAGGTACTGAGTTCAAAACTCAGTACAGCCCAAAAAAAAAAAGTTTTCCTGACAGTATCTGGCCATATTTATCACTAGGGAAAGCTTTCCATTGGTCCCCCAAGAATGGCCCAATAGCCTACCACACACCATGTCTTCTTTGAACCCTGAATACTGCTGCCCCTCCCAAAGAGCTGGGCCCTACAAGATTACATCAAGAACTCAATTCCCACTGGGCAATGGTGGCTCACACCTGCAATCCTTGCTGCTTAGGAGGTAGAGATCAGGAGGACTGTGCTTTGAGGCCAGTCCAGGCCAAAAAGGAGATGCTCTCAAAAATACCCAACACAAAGAATGGCTCAAGTGGTAGAGTGCCCCAGGCTGAGGGTATGGGTCAAGCGAGAGGCCCAGAGTTCACACCATAGTACTGGGAAAAAAAAAAAAAAAAACAAAACCACAAAGCTATCTTAAAACACAAATTCTGGTATATTGTGTGAACTGGTTAAAAAAAAAAATCAGAATATTAACTCTAAGGAAGGTCCCATCAAGGATACAGAGTGGCACTGTGACATCGTAAACCTACAGATGGCAGGTTTCTCTGGAGCAGCTTAGATGCAGAAAGGAAAAAAGCTAAAGCTCTAAGATGAGCCAAGTGTCAGGGGCATCTCAGTCCTGCTCCATTCTGCTTCTAATCCCAAAGAAAGCAATGGATGGCTAATGCTGGTTCTAGTTCCTCAACATAGGGCTGACAGAGTGTCTTAAATGGTAGCATGAGTTTAAACCTCAGTACTGTCCCCCCCTACCCAAAAAAAAATATTCCTCAACATAGCTGGGCACTGGTGGCTCATGCCTATAATCCTAGCTACTTGGGAGGCTGAGATCAGGAGTATTGAAGTTTGACACCAGCCCAGGCAAATAGTGCGTGAGACTCCATCTCCAAAATAACCAAAGCAAAATGGACTGAAGGTTGGCTTAAGTGGTAGAGCTCCTGTCTTACAAGTGCAAACCCCAGTGCCACCAAAAAAAAAAAAAAAAAATCCTGAACAATCATGGAAAAACAAATCCTTTGATTTGGGTTATATACCTGGTTCCTTCACATCTTTTTTTTTTTTTTTTCCTTTTTTGGGGGAGCAGGTACTGGGGATTGAACTCAGCCCTGCATTTTTAGGCAAGTGCACATCTTTTCACTGTATTTTGACAGCAGCTCTACAATAGTCAAGGTCAGTTCCCAATTTCAAATGTTCCACCCCACAGGCACCATATTGTTGCATCAGCTACCCACGCCTCCCGAATGCTGTTTGCATCCAAAAGTGGCTCAAAGTCAGATGTGCCTTATGTCTGTATGATAACTGCCAGCTCTCATTTGAAAAAATAATAAAATTCCTGGATTGGACTTACGTAATTTATGCATATTTGGAAGGCAGTTAGACCAAATTTCCCTGTATTTTTTTGAACTAGTTTTTTGAGGCAGGGTCTTACTATGTAAGCCAGGCTTACCTTGAATTTGCAATCCTCCTGCCTCAGCCTTCTGAGTGCTGGAATTACAGGCATGTGCCAACACATTTGGCTTCCCTCTACTTTCAGTAACCACTTTGTTCAAGGATGAAAATTAAATGTGGAGAAAATTATTCAAAACAATTCAGCATTTTATGTTCTGGGGTTTTTTTTGAGACTGAGTCTGGTTATGTTGCCCAAATTGGCCCCAAACTCCTGGGTTCACATGATTCTCCTATGTCAGTCTCCCAAGTAGCTGGGACTCTAAGTACACACTACCACATTCAGCTTAATTTAGTATTGAGAATCATTCATACATAAGAGAATATTAATTATAAGCCCTTGCATATCACTCAATCAAGATGCTCAAGAATCTCCCTGGGGCAGTATTTGAATAATTAGTAAGTACCTTTTTCAGGTGGCTTTTTCGTTGAACAATTTCACATCAGCAAGGTATAAGGTTAACTTACCCAACAGATTGTTTCTATGGTGACACTTGCATACCCGTACCAAGTGTACAACTGCAAATGTGTACGTGCTACTTCACGTCATTATATCAACATTTGATGCTTAACTATACAAGACAGAGAAACAGAGGTGACTAACCCAAAATGGGTGAGCTATTTTTGGTCTCTTTGGGCAGCAGACTTGGGCCAGTCAGCACCTAAGCACTGAGACTGCACAACAGGGGCCAGAAGGTGCCAGTGCAGCTGAGTGAGCCTCTGCCCTGGCCTGTGACTCTTCGTTCATCAGAATTCATCAGATACTGAAGGCCCCACCACGTACTGATAAGTAGAAGCATGCCAGGCCCTCACACCCTCATACCTGTGCCAGCAGTCCAGACCTGGAGGTCCGCTCTCCACCCATAAGCTCTCCCTGAAAGGAAGACACAGTAGCAGAGGGAGCTGTGTAGTTTGAAAAAAATGACTGCGTAAAAAAGCTGGAAGTCTGGGACCGTGAGGAATTCAGACTGCTCGTGTCCAGGTCGTCCTCAGAGCCAAGTCCATGATGGCACAGTACCAGGTCTACCAAGTCTTCCTTCTCTCGACAAGTATCTATGGGGATGTTTCTGAGAATGAGATACTGCCGGAGGTCCTTCACTTTCAGCCGCATCAACCGAGGGCGCTGGAAGGCTGTCTCTTGTAACAAGTGACAAGTAGAACATCTGCGGAAATTTTCTTGTAAGACAGAACAAACGGAGCAAAAATCCTTCTTGCAGTCACAACATACGTGCTGAAGGAACAGACAGAAAGAGGCATTTAACGATAGCAGGATATAAGCCAGCATGTAAACACCATTTTCTTTTTTGCCTTCTATTTCAATTTCAGCCCTTCCAGAAGTCCCCCGTGGCACCAGCCGACTTTCACAGGCACTTAGTGTTCACAAGCCATGAAAATCAACCCAAGCCATGAAAATCAAAATAGTCACTGCCAAGGCAGTTTAGATGCACCGAAGTTTAAGAAAAACATACTCTTGTGTTAATGAATTAAAACCTTTCCACCCCTTGGTACAAACATATAATTAGCAGAACAGAGCTGACAGAGCACACAACCACAAACACTGGTCTTTCCCTATGTGAACAATTTCCCCATTTAAAGAGGAGAAAAAAAGCCTAACAGACAGGGAAAGAGAAAGGCAACTGACCTCTCAAAGTCAATCCAAGAAAACAGGAGCCCACTAAATACAGTAACCTATAATCTACAGAGCCTCAATCACGAGCCAAGCCATTAGCACAGAGAATAGGAAAGGGAACAATAAGAGTGGTCCTTTGTTGGGTGCCTTCTTCCTATAAACACCTTTTTTTGTGTTTAAAAGGACTAAAGTGATGATCAAAGACTGCAAGATGACTTAGTGACAATAACTGTGTCAGTCTAAGTATTTACTGCTGAATCTCTAAATGGAGTTCCTATACTCATTTCTTCATTTGAGGATTAAAAATATGGTCAAACTTTTTTGAAACTTGAGATCACGGAGTAAATCACCTCTAAATAGAACTGAGAATTAATTAAACCTCTTGCTTCAAAAAGTGAGTCATCAGGAAGAGTGAGACAGTACAAACAGGCAGAGTTCAGGAGAAAAGAATACCACAAGAAGTACCAGTATCTACACAGACAGCCTGACAGGAAAACAATCCCTTCAACTGTGTAGTTTTCTAAAAGGAAAATGGTTTAGTGTTTTTATAGAATGAAGGTTCACCTGCTGTTCAAAATACAATTAAGAACTCTGATCTGTGTCTCTCGTAGGTAACATTTCATCCAACTCACCTTCTTTCTAAAGACTGAAAATGAAAGTCCACACGCTTTGCAAACTATATTAGGCCCTTCCGTGGCTGCAGGTGGGTAGGTGGAAAAATCAGAGCTTGGTGTGAATCTGAAGGGGCCGGTGCCTCCTGCAAATCCTGACTGCTGGCCTCTGACAGCACCAGTTCCCATGACTTCATTCAGCAGCCCACAGCACGAAGCCCACATAGATGTGGCACCCGCCTGGAAAGGAACACAAGTGCCACAATTTAAAGCGAAGTAGAACCTGGGCTGCCAGGGATCCTCAGGGAATGCCATTCTGGGGAGCTAAACTTGCCCTAAATAACTTTAGGATCACAGGATGAGCATCTTTAATTCAAACATCCAAAACTTCCAACATTATTTGGGAGCATTTCGGATTCTGGATATTTGAATCAGAGATGCTCAACAGGTAACTCCATGCAAATACTCCAAAATCTAAAACCCTCCAGAATCAGCAGCATGTCTAGTCCCAAGCATTTCAGATGAAGGATATTCAACCTGTATCCCTTTAGACACTAAAATGTCAAGCTATTTGGAAAAATAATTGTCCAAATTATTTTCTGGTATTTCCAAAGCATCTTTTGGCACTGGAAAGTCTCATGATATTTTGTTAAACAAAAGGAACAGATAAAACATGACTTTTGGAGACAGTTTGTCCACAAGCTCGTTTTTAAGCTAGCTTTAAAAGGTGATCTGGAGCATGAATGAGGCTAATGCTATTCTTGCTCCTACCCAGAAGCACTGTTACAGAAGCATGGGGAAGGAGGAGGAAACCACAACAGAAGGTTCAAACAGTCTTAAGGATCAGCGCCACTGATTTAAGCATTATATGTCATCGTACCCTATAATTCTCAAGAAATGGTGATGCCTTTAAAGGTCAGGTAAAATCGTAATTAACAGGTCACACCTCAGACTGTAAGGCCACAATCTGCTTAAACATAAAAGCGTGAAAATCCAGACTTACTAAGAGTGTTCTTTTAAGAAAGGGATTCAGCTGCAGGCCTTTAACGTAAGTGCTCTTAAACAACTGAACACATTTTAAAAGTGTCAATTTGCCCATAATTTTGTAGGGGGGAGGGGATACCTCAACTGTTTAAGTACCATTGGTACAAACTTCTCTTCATGCCAGGAGTCAGAAAAAGTGAAGTGTGAGGGAAGCTTTAGCTCCTGTCTGATCTAGCCACCAAACAATTTAAATGGCCTTACTTACTTTTATTTCCTAATTTAAGTGTGAGGATGCCGCCTCTCCCAGAGCCAAAGTTACAGAAACTTCTGTACAGAAGTTTAAGGATCAGCTGTACGGAAGTATAAGGGTCAGTCTGGCGTTTGTGTGAGATCTAACTAATGGCCTCACACTTGCTAGCCAAGTCTTTTTGAGCCACAACCCCAGACCAATTTTTTTTTTTTTTTTTGGTGGGACTGGGATTTGAACCTTGCTAGGCAGGTGCTCTGCCATTTGAGCCACTCCACCAGCCCTGTTTTTTGTGTTGGATATTTTCAAGAGATTTGCTTGGGCTGGCCTCAAACCGCAATCCTCCTAATCTCTGCCTCCTGAGTAGCTAGGATTACAGACATGAACCACAGGTGCCCAACAAAATTGTGGTTTTGTAGTAAATAAGGTAAAAGATTCGGATCTAGCAGATCAAAAATCTCAGACACTAACTTTCACACTTTCTACTAGAGACAAGTTTGAGCTAAGCAAGGATACAATTTTCAAACCATGCCGAGTATGATCCTTAAAAAAATTTTTTTCTTTGGAAACACATTCTCCTATATAGCCTAAGTTAGCCTAGAATTCACAATCCTCCTGCCTCAGCCTCCCAAGTGCTGACATTAGGCTGGTAGAGTAGCTCAAGTGGTAGCGTGCCTACAAGTGTGAAGCCATGGGTTCAAACCCCAGTGCCACAAAGTGCTGAGATTACAGGCATGCAACACTACAACCAGCTGATGCTTAAAATTTTTTATTCAGAGCTGTGCATGATGGCACATGTCTACAATCAATCTCAGGACTTATGAGGTGGGGGCAGGAGGATCCCAAGTTCATAGCCGGCCTGGACTGCATGTGAGTCTTGTCTAAAAATATGAAAAACTTTTAAATAATTTTTTTTTGTGTGTGTGATGGGTTTTTCAAGATTAGGGTCTCAAGAGCTATTTGCCCTAGCTGGCTTTGGACCTCGACCCTCCTGATTTCTGCTTCCTCAGTAGCTAGGATTATAGGCGTGAGAAACCGGTGCCTGGCAAGAAAAAATATTTTTAAATAAAAAATAAAACACGGCTCTGGTGAAGGGAATGGAAGATTTATTTTGGAAAACAGATGGAATCCCAGTAGATGTCATTACTGGAGGGTAATAATTTTGTCCCATTTCTCATGTTTCTTATAAAAGGGCAGGAATTTCCTTTGCATCCCCCAGAAGGAAAGTAATAAAAAGAAAAGAACAATTCTAGCTTTCCTGAGCAACCTCATTATAATATAAAAATTTGAAAACAAAAAAAGCTCCCAGAGCTGCCCAGGCAAAAATATGGTGCTGTAATTCAACACTCAGTAGGACGGATGTCCACGTTACTGTTGTCAGGGTTGGACCACAGCAGGAGACTAGAGGCTGCAGTCTCATTCTCTGGGAACTTAAATCTGGTGGAAATCTCCCAATAGAAAATCGAGTTCCCAGGAGGAGAGTACTCCTAGCAGCTTATTCCAGGGTAAGCCCACTTAGGTTCTCCTCACCAGCCTTCTTCACAATTCAGAGAGCTGAAGCTGGAGGACGAAGGCAAGTTCTACATGAAGTACCCTTCTTTCCCATCCAGACATGTTGTCTTATTTTATTTATGTATGTATTTATTTATTGGCAGCACTGGGGTTTGAACTCAGGGCCTCATACTTGCTAGGCAGGTACTCTACCACTTGAGCCACTCCGCCAGCCCTGTTTTGTGCTGAGATAGGATCTCACTATTTGCTTGGGCTGGCTTTGAACCGCAATCCTCCAGATCTCTCCCTCCTGAGTAGCTAGGATTACAGGTATGAGCCACCAGCACCTGCCATCCAGCATTGCCTGGGCCTGTGACACTGCTCTGAAGACAGCAGTTCTCCAAGATGGGCTAGCAGACACTCCTGGGCACTTGACTTGGGGCATCGTTACATGTCCTTGGAACTCAGCTACTACAGCTGACAGGATAATAACCAAAAAGCTTGTCTTTTGCACCTTCCCTTAAAAGCTTTAGAAACCTGCCCTTAAGATCTTCCTCCAGTTTAAACAGCCTGTACTCCTTTATATTCCTTTTATTCACTCACTGCTCCCATTCTCATAGTGAGATTGGAGCATTTTCCAGATGATTCCATTTCCTCATATATTTTCTAGGCAAGCTGAGTTCCTAGACAGTATAGTAAACACAGTCTCCTGGTCTCTGAATTCACAGAAATTCACTGAGTTGCCAATCTGCCTCAATTCTACAGAGGTGAATTCCTTATATAGGGGTTGCCATCCAGCTCTTTTTTTTTTTTTTTAAAGCAATACTGGAGAATGAACACAGGACCTCAGAGCAAGCACTCTCCCACTTGAGCTACACCCCAGCCTTTTTGTTTCTATTTTGTCTTTGAGACAGGGTCTCACTAACTTTGGTGTGGTCTTGAATGTAAGATCTGCCTACCACTACCCTTCTGTGAGTGAAGCTAAAACCCAGATCACTGGGGCTGACATGCCCTACTTGGGACAGTTGAGAGAACTCTACCAGCTACACTACATATTCCAAGTTATTAGAAAGAACAACAGCTGAATTTCCTCCTTGACCATGAACGTAAGAGAATAATCTATGCTGGCACAAAACCCACACTGAGGGAACTTAATTATGGGTGCAGCTTACTTTCTAGCCATTAAGAATTACTGAAAATAACTTATTGATAACTGAATCCCTTTCCTACCCACCCCCTTAGGCCAAAACTAACTCAGCCATGGGTCCATGGTCTGCCTGGCCTGTCAGTTAAGAACAAGGCATCGGAGGTGGCAGATTGGGTCAAATGGCAGAGCAAGTGAGGCCCTGAGTTTAATTCCCAGTACCAAAAAAAAAAAAAGCTATCATATTAAAATCCTACATGACTGGAGTAAGAGATAAACTCTAAAACCTGCCTGGACTTGCCCTGACACTTAGATCTCTATATCATTCTGGTATCCAATGACATTTCTGTTCTTATTCTAAAACCTGTGCACCAAAATTTTAGGGGGTTAATAGCACTATCTTTTTTTCATTCCCAGTATGGACCAAGAGAAAAATGGAAATCAAAAAAAAATTTGGTGGCGGGGGGGAGCACTGGGGCTTGAACTCAGGGCCTACATCTTGAGCCATTCACCAGCCGTTTTTTTTTTTGTTGTTGTTTTGATGGATTTTTTTCAAGACAGGGTCTCAAGAGCTAATTGCCCTGGATGGATTTGGACTTTGATCCTCTTGATCTCTGCCTCCTGAGTAGCTAGGATTACAGGTGTGAGCCACCGGTGCCCAGCAAAATGTTTGCTTTTTTACTGACAGCACCAATTGGAGAACGTGACTTTAGCTCTGCCGCCAATTAACTGGTCTTGATAATATGTCATCTAGTCCCAGCACAGTTAATCAAGGGCATCTTACATCTAGTTGAGTGGAAACCAGAATGCCATCTCCCCTCCAGGAAGGCAGATACGAGAAAGTCCTACAAAGTACTGAGCCAGTCATATTCAGGGTTCCACTGAACTTATCACTACCAAAGTCCCTCTTCCTCTGGTAGCAGGAAGGCTGCAAGTGTTCCCTACACTGTCCCAATACTCCCTTCTGTAGCAGCATGGGGGCTCATGGAGCTGGGGTGGGTTTACTATTCACAAAATGAGCATGACTGACAATTTCCAGCTCTGCGACACTTGTTTCCACAATGGACCACCAATGTTCTGAGCACTGTCAGGTTCCTCAGTCAGATTCAAACAATCTAAACCCATTCTGCATCATTGCTTCAGTGGACAAAACCAAGTGGAAGCCTGTTTGTTTCCTGGAGCACTAGCCCAGCCCTCTTTCTGGCAGAGTGCCAGAGTTTTCAAATGGCCTCAAGGTTCAGCTGTGTGTATGATCTAATATGCTGTTAGAATCCCTGTAGAGGGAAAAAAATTCCAATACTCCATGTAAAGAATTAAGTTTACTACAAATTTTGGATCCTGTTCTAAACCACACTAGGATGTGATCCTTTAATGAGCTCATCAAATGTAATATTAATCAGCCAGACTAGACTGTGGTTTCCATGAAGAGTAAATGACAAGGGGGGCAGGGCAGGTATGCTCAGAGGGTGGGGGAATTGATGGATATGAAAACAGAAAACTAAATGATCTAAGTCATTTGCTTTTGATGAAACTAAGTAAATAAGCAGCAGTAACAATGCCATCTCCTAAGAGCATTACTGCGCTTGCCATGACAAAGTTACAGTGATACTTGTTAGTTTCAGGATGTTTCTAGCAGTTTCACACTCAAGAAAATTACTTTTCTCAAACATTGTAAGAAGCTACAAGGACCAGATAGGTATTCTGTTCTTCCACCAGTGAAAGCCTCCGCAGGGAACTCATCCTTTATGGATTTTGTTATAAACTCTGGACAATGTTCAATTTGCTTGTGCTGAAAGGTAAGAAAAAACACATTTCAAATCTTAGCACCAGTGCTGGGGATACAGGTCAGTGGTAGAGCACTTATCTACCATAGGCATGGCCCTGAGTTCAATCCCCAGTACCACAAAGAAAAAAAAAAATCTTAGCACCATGATATAAAAGAACACAATTTTAGAGCTTAAATTTCTGTTAGGTTAAACTTCCTATAGAACTTAAAACAGACCAGAAGAAAAGAATCCAGATGATAGCAAAATCTTTACCCTACTTAGAACCACTTGAAACACACATTCCTTAGAATGTGAAAGCATTTCTTATTGAAATTCCTGTTTCCAAGGGCCTGGTGCAGTGGCTCATAGGTGTAATCCCAGCTACTCGGAAAGCAGAGATAGGGAGGATCTTAGTCAAGGCTGCCAGAGCAAAAAGTTGGCAAGCCCCATCTCAACAAATTATCTGGGTGCATGCCTGTGATTCCTGCTTCTTGGGAAGCACAGGTATGATGACCTCAGTCCAGACTAGCCTGGGCATAAATGGTAAGACTCTATCTGAAAAGAAACTTAAAGCAAAAGGGCTGCAGACATGGCTCAAATGGTAGAGTGCTTGCTTTGAAACTCAACGGCCTGAGCTTAAACCTCCCATTGTCCAAAAAAAAAAATTCTTGTTTTGTATGAAATATACAGGGTACTTTTTTTTTTTTTGTAGTACTGGGGTTTAAACTCATGGCTTTGCGCTTGCTAGGGAGGCACTCTACCACTTGAGCAACTCCATCAGCCCATTTTTTGCGATGGTTTTTTTCCAGATAGGTCTCTTGAACTATTTGCTTGGGCTGGCTTCAAACCACAATGCCCCTGATCTCTGCCTCCTAAGTAGCAAGGATTACAGGAGTGAGCCACTAGCACCCAGTAGTGAACTCTTTTTTAATAACTAACAAGTTCTACATCCTAAAACAGATATTCATCCTTAAAATGTAATTGCTATAGGCAAGACATTTGTTAGACTGATACATTTTTACTTCACAATAATGTGCACTATAAATCATAAATGTTACTTTCTTCATGTTTATATTTTTGTCCTTTTTAAAAACAGTATCCTTAGCCAGGTGGGGTGCTGGTAGCTCTCACCTGTAATCTTAGCTACTTAGGAGGCTAAAATAAGGAGGGTTACAATTCCAGGCCAGCCTGGGGAAATAGTTCACAGACCCCATATCCAAAAATAACCAGAGCAAAATAGTAATAGACTGGAAGTGTGGCTCAAGTGATAGAGCGCCTGCTTTGGAATCGTGAAGCCCTGAGTTCAAACCTCAGTCCCACCAAAAAAAATACAAGTGTATTTGATCCTTAGCATCATTCCCCCTCCCCCTTTGAGAGAAATTAAAAAAAGGAAATTCAGTCAGTAGATTACTTTCTTCTTGATACCACATTTTGTATTTATCAAAGGTGAGATTAATGTAAATATGGAAAAACAGGAAAGGATTAAATCAAATTAACATTGGACCAAAAAAAATCCCAATCTGCTTAAAGTACTTGCTTACATGTACCTTCATGTTAGAATTCCATGCTATCAGAAATCAATGACCTTGGCCAGAAATCTACAGATGAGAATATCCACGATCAAAAAACTTTTGACAGAAGTCAACATGAAGTTAAATAATAAACAGCACAAATCCAAAACTTTGTTAATCCAATTCCACAAAACCATAAATGAAAGCATTCATAACTGTCATTTTGCACAGATTGCTGACTACTCAGGTTTGCATTTTGCTTCAGAAAATACATCTTTTCTCCATTTTCAACTGCCACGGAACTGTTTATAAAAATCCAACTTAGAAAGCAGTTAAATGCAAAAATACTTCTTTTTAAAGAACTTATTTAAAAATTTCAACACTGTGCTTCTCCCTAATTTTCTTTCCATACCCTAGATCCTTGATGGGTCACAAATATTAATAAAGATATACATTCTTTGAGATACAAACACTCCTGCTTTTTGGATCTTAACACAGTAAGATGATTTTCAGAAAATAAAGCTACATGTAAATATTTTAATAGGTCTCCTAAATTGAAATAACATTTTATAACTGGGAAGTTAAAAATTAGGATATTATGAAATATCCTAAAGCTTCAAGACACAGTTCAAAAGTTACCTATTCCAAAAGTTGCTTCTTGCAGCCAGAGGTATCTTTTCAATCTGCCTCAGGTTTTCCATTTTTTTGGATACTCTGCATCACTCTGCCTGGTAATGTGGTTATCTGCAAATGTCCTTCCTTTTCATTGGCAAACTCCTTGGATTATTTCTACTTACCATGTCTCCCTCTTGGCTAACACACAGGAGGTGTTTGCTGAATTTCTCCAGCCACTTGGCACTCCCCTTTCAATCTTCATGGTAAACCTCTGACGCTTTGTAAAGGTTGAATCCATCTCGCGGTTCCCTCTTTTACTTTCCTTACCCACATCACACACACACTTCATGGTTGAGATTAATGAAACCGTCTGTCTGGAAGAGTATCACCGTCACCTTATGACTAACCCCCTCTTGGTCGGAGTTCGGCAAATCAATCAGCGCTTGGATTGATTACTGTACCAAGCTCCGAAGAACTCTCAGCGATCAAGTTGAGAATCTCTCCCCTTCCCCTGAACTTCTCACGCTGCTCCCACGCTCTCAACTCCCACCTGGGAGAAAAGCTGACAAATTACTTGCTGCGTACCTAGCAGGCGACGCAGACACGTCTACAAGCTAGCGCTCTAGGTCACGGTCCCGGACGGGAAGCCCTCCAACTCCTGGAAGGCGGGGGCCACCCCCCAAGGTATTTCCGACCTGTCAGCTCGCCCCTGGCCTCGTCACTCCCGCCACCAGTCTTTTTTTTTCCTTCAGTCGCATGATATTCCGACATATGGGTTAGTTCAAGGACTCGGGGAAGCAGAGGGCACGCGGTGGGCAAAGACATGGAGGGCGGAGGCGAGAGCTCCGGTTCTGCTCCCGGCCCCCGAGGACACGCACAGGGCCTGGCGCAGAGGGGCCCACGAGGCGTGAGCGCGGGGGGCACCGGCCTCTCCCCCGTCCTCTCCCCCGTCCTCTCGGGCTCGCCGACGGGAGGCACTGCGGGAGCTCAGGAGACTCCGGAAGCCCAGACGCTCAGCCCCGCGCTGGTCACCGCCTCAGAGGCCGCCCGACCAGGCGACCCCCACCCCCGCTTCGGCGGAGGTCCCCGAGGGGCTGGCGGGGTAACCGCTGAGACTCAAAGAAAGGCGCTCCGAGTGCCCCGGCCGGACAGGAGAGGCGGGGAGGGCCTGCCCAGCTCCACCAGCCCCTCACCTTCATGGCCGCGACCACCTCGGATCGGTCGGCTCTGCCGGGGAACTCAGCACCATAGCAGCTCCCACCACAGCCGACCTCCTTCTTTCTAGGTGGTGATTACGGCGCCTCTTGCAAGCGGCTGAGCGTCCCGACGTAATGGGCGTGGCCACGCTCGGCGCACGCCCAGGGAAGAAGGCCGAGTGGCGGCCAAATCAACCAATCAGAATCCAGTGTTTAGGGGGCCGGTCTCCGGACCCAATGAAATAGCGAGAAGGGGGAGGGGCCTCCAGCTCAGCAGGGTGGACGCGGGAGGACTCCATTCCATCCCAAGCGGACATGGGCGGGTCAGGGCGTGGCGGGAGGCGCTTTCCCGAACCGCTTTTTCAGTTGGAAGGTTGAAATGCGTGTCAGCGTCCTCTGAGGAACCAGCGGCTGTACTGTTGGCTTTCTATCGTGGGTGGTCAAGTTCCCGGAGCGGGGAGGGCAAGGAGAGTGGTGAATTTGAAAATGCCGTTGGTGTGAAGGCTTTTGTTATTAACAGGGCAGGGCCTCAGATTTAACCGCGAAACGTTCGTTTCACCCACACCGAGTGATGACCTCGGGTGTCCTCAAGGAGTAGCAATAAGCATAACAGAACGTGCCTTTAAAAAAAAAACAGGATTAATTGAAAATGTTTGGAGAATCAAGGGCTGTCAAGTCCCACCTGCCCTTTTAAAGTGATGTTCAAACATAACCAAAATTACCTAGCGCGCTAAAAGAATTCATGGAGCCAGGCGCTGGTGGCTCACGCCTGTAATCCTAGCTACTCCGGAGACAGAAATCAGGAGGATCGCGGTTCGAAGCCAGCCGGGCAAATAGTTCTTGCGACTTTATCTCAAAAAAACCCATCACACTGAGCTGGTGGAGGTGGTACATTACCTGCCCAGCAAGTGTGCGGCCCTGAGTTCAAACCCCAGTACGGCAAAAACAATCAACCAAAAAAAAAAAAAAAAACCATCACAAAAAAGGGCAGGAGGAGTGGCTCAAGGTTTAGGCCCTGGGTTCAAACCCCAGTACCGCAAAAATAAATAATAAATAAATAAAGGCATTCATGTGATCCCTTGGGATTTACTTGATGGGTGGGCAGAGAAACTGAGGTTGTAAATGAAGGTGTGGATTTCTTCAGCTCAACTGGATTGAAGTTGGTTTTCCTGTACCTTCTTTCGCTCACTTCTAGTTCAACCAGTACTTGAAATTTTAGATATGCAGATGTCAGTTTGCTCTTAATGAGTAGCCAAGACTGTTCTCTGCCCTTTTACTCTGTTTATATGTACTACATGTCAGATTAAAACACACACAAAAGGCCACTTTCCTTAGGCTGAAATATGTCAGCCTATTTTTGTCACTTCAACTTCTATTCACTATGCAATTTCTTGTCCAGGATAGACCTGGATTTTTGGAAAAACACAAGCTTTCACCATGTCAGGGCAGCAGCTGAGCTTCTTCCAAAGAGAAAGTGTTAGTTCTTCTACTATAACCACAGACAAATTCAATAAAAACTTGCAAAGTCTGTAACTCACGAATAAGCACGTGAAAAGCTGCTTGTCATTAGCCATTAGGAAAATGCAAAAAAAAAAAAAACCCACAGATACAGCTACATACCTACTAGGATGGCTGAAGAAGAAAAGAAAAAGAGGATGTGGAGAATTTGGAATCCTCATTAATGATGGGAATCGAAAATGATGCAGCTGCTTTATAAACGTTTAGCAATTCAAAAATGTTAAATACTAGCGTTTTCATATGACCCATCAATTCCACTTCTACCTATATACCCAAGAAAAAAGAAGACCTTATGTTCACAAAGAAATTTACACACTAATGTTCATAACAGCATTACTCATAATAGCCCAAACTCAAAACAACCCAATTGTCCATTACCCAATGAGTGAGGAAACAAATGTGATACGTCCTTACAAAGGAGTATCATTTGGCCAGAAAAGGAATACAGTACTCACACATGCTACAAGATAGATGAATCTTAACGTCATGCTAGGCTGGGTGCCAGTGGTTCACGCCTGTAATCCTAACCACTTGGGAGGCTGAGATTGATTGGGAGGATCACAGTTTAAAGCCAGTTGAGGCAAATAGTTTTCGAGACCCCCCATCTCCAAAATAACCAGAGCAAAACAGACTGGAGGTGGAGCTCAAGCAGAACATGTGCTCAAACCCCAGTCCCACCAAAAAAAATAAAAAATAAAGGTTTAAGGTACACATGAGTTCACGATTTCTAACTACTTCCTGCAGTTTGAGAAACCTTTATGCTTAAACACCATCCTTTTCCAATAGGCAATGCACCCTGTGATCAACATTTTTCTTTGCTTCAAACTTTATATATTGACAATCTTCTTTCAATTATGTACTAATTGTAGCTCAGGAAAATTTTGGTTTACTAACTTACAACAGCCTAATATGTTCTACTTCAGAGACAAAAAGTAGAACCGCCAAGATACATGGGATAATTTATTGCACCTCAACTATTGTGTAGGATATGATAAAGTGAGGTTGGTCTTTGGGTCTTCTTTCTTCTCCTGCTTCTTTCTTCTTCTCCTTCTCCTCCTCCTCCTCCTTCTTCTCCTCCCACTTCTCCTGACTGTACTAGGGTTTGAACTCAAGCCTGGAACTCATGATCCTTCTGGGGGAAGATCTCAGTGGGCTAAAAGTCATGTACACCATGCCCAACTTGTTTTACTTATTTGTTTTGTAAGTACTAGGATTTGAACTCAGGGGTTCCACTTGAACCATGCTCCTAGCCCTTTTTGCTTTATTTTTTTCAGATAGGGTCTCACGCTTTTGCCTGGGCAAGCCTCAGATCTTGATCCTCCTGCCTCTACCTTCTATGTAGCTGGGATTATAGGCACACACCACCATGCCCAGCTTGTTTGCTTTTTTTAACTCCTTAAAAAAATTAAAAATTAAAAGAATTTAAAATTTAAAATAAATTTTTATTTATTTAATTTTTTATTTGAAATTTTATTTAATTTTTAATTTTTTATTTGAAATTACTTTTTTTTTTTTTTGGTGGTGATTGTGGTGGAGGTATTGGGGTAGAACTCAGGCTCTTGCATTTGTTAATCATATGTGCTAATACTTGAGTGACTCCACCAACCCTAAATTAAATTATTTATTTATTTTGCAGTACTAGAATTTGAACTCAGGATTTCATGTCTGGCACTCTAGCACTTGAGCGATCCTCCAGCCCAATGAATTTTTTTTTATTTTTATTTTATTTATTTAATATTTGCAGTGCTGGGGCTTGAATTCGGGGCCTATGCCTTGAGTTCCACCAGCCCTTTTTTGTGAAGGGTTTTTTGAGATAGGGTCTTCCAAACTATTTGCCTGGGCTGGCTTTGAACCACGATCCTCCTGATCTCTGCCTCTTGAGTAGCTAAGATTACAGGCGTGAGCCACCAGGTGCAACTAAATTTATTTTAAACTGATACATAAAAATTATACATATTTATGAGGTACCATGTGATGTATCAATACCTAAATTCATGAAAAACTCATTAAATTTACAAAGTGCTGAAAGTAAATTCGTTTCTGAGCATGGTGGCACATGTCTGTGTTCCCAGCTACTCGGAAGGCTAAGACAGGAGGATTGCTTGAGCCCAAGAGCCAACCTGGACAACATAAAGGGATCCTATCTCATAAAGGAACAAATTATGTTGAAACTTCCCTGAAGTTGAAAAAGAAGCAAAAGTTTCATTCTCCAAACTTTTTCAAGTTAATGCATAATCTATTTTTTTCAGCATCATGTGTACTCATAAAACAACAGTTTAAGAGGCTAGCTACTATTACTCTAGCAATGGAATCTCTCAAAGACAGCAAGTGATGCCGGGTGCCAGTGGCTCACCCCTGTAATCCTAGCTACCCGGGAGGCAGAGATCAGGAGGACCAAAGTTCAAAGCCAGCCCAGGCAAATAGTTCATGGACCCTGTCTCCAAAAAAAAATCACAAAAAAGGGCTGCTGGAGTGGCTCAGGTAGAATGCCTGCCTAGTAAGCATGTAGGCCCTATATTCAAACTCCAGTGCTGCTGAAAAAAACAAAAACCAGAACAAGATAGAAAGTGATGACAGGAAGATGATATAAGACTCTTGCACAGTTGGTTAACAACTTAGTACTAAACATTTATTTTGGAAAATGTCAAACACATAGGAAGCACATAAAAAAGTACCATGAACCTTTATGCCCCCATCACCCGATTTTCAAAATTCTGTACACTTTTCACTCTTCCCTCATCTCCTGCACTCGGATCTCTCCACCCACTCCACACCCACACCCCATCTGAGTTAAATGGCATCATTAGACCAGTTCATGACTCTGGTTGCCTAGCTATGAGCCAGATGAAAGTATCTAGGAACTGAATCTGGTTTAGTATGTTTTATTGGTCCTTGCATACGTTAACCTAGTCAACATATGATTTAAAAGATCATCCTATTTTAACCAGTGGTTTTCAGATCATAAAAATCTACTCAAAAAAAATC